GCCTGCGAAATTTGTAAAATTTGAATTTTCGATATCTAAACATTTCGGAATTTCTATAAATGCAGAACGCTAACGGCGAATATCACCCAATTATTTGTTTTACCTCACTTGCTTAACCGTCCAATTCAACTAATATGTTAACGCTTTTTTTGCTCAACTTTTTTTTCTCGCTCATCCTAAATGTATGCAATAGCTTTATATATAATTTGGTATATAAAGAAACTAATTTACATGTAGTAGTTTGCTCTACATAGAAGCAGTATTTTCACTTGTTAGTGTTTAAGTGCTTCCTTATACAAACCTTTGATTTGACTCAACTTTATTTTTTTTTGAAAATACTTTTCAAAAAGGAATCCTATAATAACCTTGTATTTTCTTAAATCTTGTCTTGAAAGTTTAAAAATAAAATTTAGGCCAATTAATTAAAGAAATTTAAAGGATGCATTTAAAGTTTTTCATATTTATCGATGTTTGAATTAAAAATTTTAAAATTGTTAAAATTAAAAGTACAATTTTCAATATTCACATTTGATTTGAATTCATTAATCAAACGTGCCGTAAAATATTTATTTTTTATTTTTATTTTGGAAAAAAAATTTTTTGCCAAAATTAACAAAATTACCTTTTATGTATATTATTTGGTTGATCGGTTGGTTGAGGTGGTCAATGCACTTCAACGGTCCACCGCACCCCAATTAGCATAAATGCGTCCATCTGCTTCCACTACCCCGTGATCACCAGAATATTATTTGCACTTCAAATTTATAATAATTGTAAGAATAATGTAAATTTTCAAAAAATTAATGTGTATTATCTAAGTGAATTAATTAAAGAATAAAATTAACGTAGTCAACGGTCTAATTCGTGTGTGTCACACTATTATATGCACTTCCATTTCCTCCAACTAAATAAGCTCATATCCTCAATAAAAATTTTATTAAAACATTTTGTTGCTGATATCAATTTGAGTTTTAAATACGAGTATATTTCAGTTATTTTCTAAACTTAAACAGAATTAGAAGCTTATAAAATTCTTAAACACTTTACAAACAGTAGTAAAAATTTTTCAGTAGTAAAAATTTGTTAAGAATTACATTATGCTTATTGTTAAGAAAAATATCATTTATCATTTTAATAACTTAATTTTTTGAATATTTTGAAATTTCAAATTCTCAAGAGAAAGTTTATTTTCAACTTAACTATTTAATAAAATTTATATTAATCGTTTCTTCTTTACTCGGTATGCAAATTTTACATAACGTGCATTACTCCTTATAGTTTGAAATTATAAAGGAAAAATAATAGAATAATGGCTTTAAATTTGCATATTTTCTTAAGGAGATACCACAGTTTGTTATATATTTCTCTTATTTTCAATTTTTCCTGTGCTAGACTTTTCCAAAAAGATCAATATTTTCTTATGTTTTAAACACAAAAATAAATTTTTCATTTAAATTTTACGTTCTACATTTTTATTTCCTTATATTTATCATAAGCAACATATCTTGATATTTGACATAACAGAACTGTAAAGATTCAAATATCTTATTAAAGAATGTAATTGAACAAACCCGTGCTTAATAATATTTTATAAAGAAGAGTAGGAAAATAGTATCGATCGAAGAGTAGTATAAATAGCATAGTATAAATCTTAAGTTTATGGTACTATTGTATTTATATAGTTTTATAAATTACTTTTAAAGATAGTAGTTGTTTGGGTAACAGGATAATCACTGCAAAATTCTTGCTTTCAAAGGAAGTTCAATTGAGAATATAATATCATCATATATAGAAAATTAAAAAAAAACGAGTGATTAGAAGAATGGAAGATATAAAGAAATTTCGTTCTAATAAAACAAAATCCATAAAATCTTAAAAGTTGAACAGCATGCAAGTTTTAGATAAAAAATTTTTTGAAATTTTATGTAGAGAGAATAAATTATTATACTTTAGAACTTTAACAACATTTACAGCTAAAATATTAAGATTTATTCATAAATCTTTCAATATTTTTTATTTTTTAATATTTAATTATTTTGTTACCAAATGACTCATCAGAAATTACCTTTCTTTCTAGAATAAAATTATATTTTTAAGAGTAAAAAAAGAGAAGATTAATGAAGATTTTGCTCAAATCAAATGAGTTTCTGAAAAATGACATAAGCATAAAATGCAGATTTCTTTTACAAAGAGTTTGGAGTTTTCGAAAACTGACCTACTATTCTTAAGTTTTGCTTAGATACACTATTGTAATGAAAGGCAACTATTTTTTTTCTTTCAAAATTAAATCTACAACAAAATTTACTCAAAACGAAGTACGACGAAGCACATTCTTTCCTCTTAACAATTTATTTAATTTTTTCTTTTTTACTTTACACATAATCGCATTAATTCAATTTTGTATACCAAATTAATAAACAGATTTATAAATTAATATTGCCAAGCAGAAAATATGAAGGATTTTTTCATTATTTTGCAGATAAAAAATTTTCCACGAAATTCATTTTGTTTTTCTCTTAGACTAAAAGTTGTTTGTTAAAAAAAATTCCCATGAAAAATATTGTAATAAGAAAAATATTTAATCAATGTTAATTGCGATTAAATGATTACTAGATGATTATATAATAATTACAAATTTGCAAATCATTTGTCAATTTAGTAATGCTCCACTGCTTTTAGCCATCAAATTATTCATTTAGTCCTTAACACAAACAAGAAAATGCAACATCATTGTAAAACAACATTTTCATTCCATATAGAACTAGAATAATGTTGTACAATAAAATTCCAGTAAATTATGTAAAATTTAATATTTTTTGTTTAATTTCACTATTAAAACTTAATGTTATTTTGTCCTTTATTTTTTGCTTTTAAATACACGCCAGATTTCATTACGCAAAAAAATAAATCAATACTTTTATTACACAAAAAATTAGCTATTAAATTTTCTTTTTTTTTTTGTTATTGTCCTGAAATTATTTATAATCCTTTTTACATAAAAGCTTTGTAGAAATGTCTTTTGCAAAAATTCAAAAATATTGTAAATTATTTTTTTTCTTGTCTAGTTTTAAAATCCTTTTTGCACATTTGCTTTATACATTCATAGCCGCTTATAGAAATTTTATTATTAATAAATTAATGACATGCTTAAAAAAACAACCATAGTGCATAAAAATAATAATAATTTTAGAGAAAAAACAATCAAATTGGAAATAATATTTGTAATAATAAATTAAATTTATTTTAAAGTAATTTAGTAAAGTAAAAATAATAATTTCAGAGAAATATTAAAAATATTATTTATGTTTCTTTCTTCCTAAAATTATGCAAGAAAACAAGAATGTATGAATAATTATAAAGTTTAAAATTCGAATTGATTTGGAATCCATTTGCTTAAATTTTTTTTCGAATTTCTTTATTATTGTATCTTAATTATAATTGGCTTCTTATCTCATAAATTTGCAAATAGTTTTAAAGTAAAGATCTAATACTATATTGTATGTTTTGTGTTTAAATTAATAATTTATGAAGATCAAAACTAAAAATTACGAAATTGGAGTTTTAGACTATTTAATCGTATAATTACAAAAGAATACTAGACTGAATTTTTGAATACCATACGATTTCTCGGTAAAAGCTTATTGAAAGTAGCTCAGTTTGGTAGACCGTCCTCTAAATGCGTCATACAACTGTTCTGCAGTTGTATGAAGAAACTTTCATTAGTTATTCTTATTAAAAGTGTCTACATTACTTCAGTTGTTCTAAAGCAATATAAGCAATATGAAAATGAAAATATTTATTAATTAGTGCTATTGAAAAAGCGGTTGCTCATATTAAACTGAAAGTAATCTCATTTAGACAAAAATAAAAATATTAAATGCATTAATTAAAAGTTTAAAAAAATTTTAATTAAAAATTTCCGTTGAAATTTTTCTACTGTAAACATTTTTCTATTGTAAAATATTTGTAATTATATTGCAATACAACCCTTGCAATTTGAATATATAATTTTCATTAAAAAATATAATAATGATTATTAAACTTCATAGAATTATAATACGCTTTCAAATATAAATCTAAATTAAATACCAAAACCGTATGTAAATCTAATATACGGAACTTATCTAAAAAGTAAGCATTTTAAAAATGTAATACATTTATATAACATCAATGAACTTTTTAACGTTTAGCCATTAAAATAAAAATCTTCTCTAATATTAAATTGTAGTAAATCTTTTAATTACAAAAGCAAAATGAAGTTGTTTCATTATTTAAACTTGAAATAATATTATATAACCTTAAGAACAATATTATTAAAATCGATGAAAATTGCATACTTTTAGGATATACTTAATATAATACACTCATTATTTACTCAAAATTAACCCGTAATGCGAATTTATTCTATGATTCTCAATTTTTAGAATATATTCGCATAATATTATCTAATACTAATATTAATATTCACTTATACTAATTAAAATTAATTTGGAAATTAAATATTCGGTTAATTAAGAGAATTAAAATATTTCTTTGAAATTATTTCAAACTTCTGAAAATTAAAATTCTAAAAACAAAAAAAAATTGTTCTATATTCTAATTTATTCAGTATAAATTTATCTTAGCCATAATCAAAAAAAAAAATTTTTAGAAAAAAAAATTTTTAATTTATTTTTTTTTAAATAAAAATTTTATCTTTTAAATAATAAATTATTAATATTTAAATTAATTTTAACTATAATAAATAATAAAAAAAAAACATTAAAAAAACTCTTCATTAATTTATTTGATTTTTATTTATATATTTTTCTCTTTCTCTCTTTCTATGTTTTTTATATTTATAAAATATAAATTAAAAAAAATCCTGCTATCCTCTTGTCTATCACATAATTATTTTCCTATTCAATAAAACCGTACGTATTAAATGCTTTCAAAATTTGAATCTAACATAAAAAAAAAAATTAATTAAAAAAAAAAAATTAATAAAATAAAAAAAAAAGATACGATGGGGCCTCAAAAAAATCTGTTGGGGACTTATCAATATAACAGTACCGAGGGTAAGAATTGAGAATTTCTGTTTTCTAATTTTTTCTTTCACTTTTGTTTTATTTATTTTTTCTATATTTTTATTTTACCTTTTATCTATTTGTGTTTAGTCTAAAAGTGTCTGCTAAACTGCATATCTAACATCACTTTCACTTATTCAGCAATTTAAATTGTATTGTTCAATAAATCAAATTTACTTTAGATTTGCAATTTGGCGGATGCCCCAATTTATCTATTGTTTTTCAAATTTGTTTCTTTATCTTTCACTTTGTTATACATATTTTGACTGCGTTCGGTCAAGCAATACGATAAAAATTTTATGTACGTGTTTTTGTTTTTGAGTAGAATTAAAAAAAAATTATTGCAATATGAGCATAAAATACCTACACTATTTCGTATAGTCAAAACAATTTTAGAACTTTAACATTTTGTACTAAGAAATGGCAGTAGTAAAAGCAAAATAGGCAAAATGAAAATCATATATCAAAGCAGTCTGGCCAATCACAGAATTTTTAGAACGTGATTGATATATCGTCCTTTGAGAGAATAAAATTGATAAACCGCAAAATGGCTATATTCGACTATGATATGTCTGAACACAAAAACGTATTTCTTTACTTAGGATAAATAACCTTATTCTGCGTAATTATAATCGAAATATTAAAACGGTAAAGTGATAAAATTGCTCAACGACGAACCTGAATTTGAAATTGAATTTAAAGGGCCGGTGCTATACACTGCACCATTGGTCAGGTAATATTAATACATAATATTACCTGACCAATGGTGCATATTACCTGAGTGTTACTGATTTTTTTAGAATAATTTTTTTTTAAAAACAAGTCACTTAAATAGCAATGAATATGAAATTTTCTTGATTTTGTGGGGATTTCCTTTGTGCCATTGCATTTTAATGTACAGCACAATAACAACATGTTCAATGCCATCTTTTCAAATACTAGAACAAATACAGCGACAAATTAAAAATAAGCGTAGATATACCAATTTGAACAATTGAGTAATAAAAATTAATTATTTATGGTTATAGTTTTGCATTACCGAACGCAAAATAAATTTCACATAAATTATGTGTTTCACTATCTGTTCTAATCTTTCCATATATCTGTCACTTGTCACTTTTTAAAAATGTTTTTTTTTTTCAATAATAAATAGTTTAATTATTTTATATTTTGTTTATTATTTTCTCTTATAATTTTCTATTTTTAATTGCAACTTTTTATATTCTACAAATTTATTATTTATATGTGGTAAATTTTTAATAATTTTTAAAATAATTATGTATGATTATTATATTTTTTTTTGCAAATATTGTTATACACTCGCATATTATTATTGTATGTAGATGTTATGAAATAAATTGCATTAATATGGGATTATGTTTTATTATAAAATTTATGAGAGAGCAAATATTTTGCTCTTTTGGTGATTTTTGTTTTGTTTGTTTGTTTGTTTGAGTAGAGATATATTGCTTATTATTATGCAGCTTTTAATCTCTATAGTTGAACGGTTAATGTACACAAATAAAATATTATCTCATAATTAGCCTTTTTATTATTATTATATATACATATCTACTTATATTATGATTATTATACTTAAATGTATGTACCTATACTAATATGTATAATTCAATAATAAACTCATATTTATATTATTATTAACTATTGAAAAATATTTTATAAAATTTTATATTATGTACAAAATTTCTGAATGAAAACAATTAAAAGTTATTTATTTAGAAAAAAAAATGAAAAAGGTTAAAAACTTTTGATTTTTGGTGCGTTACAAATTATGAACGTGGGTAAGTTGGTTAAATGACTTTTTTTTGGTTGAACGCACCTTTTTTTTTAATTTTAATTTTAATGTCAATTTTATTTGGTTTTTTAATAACATCATTTATTTTCGTTTGTGGTTTTTGTGGATAATTTTGTGACATACATGAATTGTTTTTATTTCACGCATCTCTTTATTATTAAAAAATAATAAAGTATGATAAGTGATTTATTTTTCAAAAATATTTTTTGAAATGGCGTTAAAAAAAAGAATATTTAATAGGATATATTATATAGTTGTATGAATGAATTAAACAGGTGGGAAATAATTTCAGAGATGATTCTTTGATCAATTCGATTGATCAAAAAATTGTGTGGGTCCGGGGTGGATGCAGATATACCCATTTTCGAGCTGCAGCGTGTTAAAAACAAATGGTGCCAGAATTTTCCTGCATATAAATAAATGCTTATAACTTCGAAACCTTCATACATTTCACACAAAATTTAAACTAAAAATATTTAGTGTCTAGTATCTTTATAAGAAATATATAAGCTAAGCATTTTTCGTATGTTTCTTAACACGTTTTACTGGTAAAATTGTGAGTTATAGAATGTTAACTCAGTTTAGCTCTCATTTTAGCGCATCGGAAAAAAAAAATTACGAAACAAATTTTCGAAAAATTTCGAGTGTTTTAAAAAAAAATTTAAAAAAAAAATTTGTCTTTGACAAGTTCTATTTCAAAAACTATGGATTTTCTGTTAAACAATTGCCCGATGGCTACTCTATGTCACATGATTCCGAAGTTGGAAGTATTTATTTATTAGCAGGAAAGATCTGGCACCTTTTTTTCAAAAGGCTGTAGTTGGAAGAAAGCGAGAATAGCTTCACCCACCAATAAAAAGTCCAATTAGCATGTGCTCTTGTAATGAACTTTTTCGCAACTTTGGACCAAAATATTTCGAATTATAAATTGGGATGGAATAAGTTTTTAGAATATTCATCATCAAAAATTTTTAAATAAAAGTTTATTCCCTTTTTGCATTGTTCAATGTTAAAATTTATGATGATTTCCTCTGCTCGTCTTGATACTGCAAAATCAACTAACATAAAAAGCAAGAGGATATCGTCAATAATTTTGATCCATTAAAAAATCCGATAGGAACGAGTTAACGAATAAATAAAATTTTTTCAAACAGAAGTAAAGTTTATGTTTTAGAAAAGATATAAAAGCTGCGAATAAATAAATTTTTTGTTGAATCGTATAGCTGAAAAAACTAGGTGTAGTTATCTAGATAAATCTGAAAAAGCCAAATTTTAACAATTCATAGAGGACTTTGTGAATAATAACGATTAGGTGGAAATTTAATAGTTGAAAAAATTCAAATGATTGTAATGAGGACAAATCGTACAAAAATTTAACCAAATTAGAAAACTAGCTTTGTAGTAACCTTAATATACTTTTTGACCAAAAACAAAATATGAATTACCCGGATCGTGGTAGGTCAACCAACCTTTTCCCAAAATTTAGGTTAATAATCTCAAATTCAATTTTTTTTTACCAAGTATTTATTACCAAAAAATCTGTGCTGTTGCAATTATAATTCAGAAACTGAACAAAACTGAAAAACAATACTTTCTTTTTTTGTAGTTATCCTTTTTCAATAGGTTAACCTTTTCAACTGGGTATTAAAAATTAAAATTTTTTTTCGTATTATGAAATTTATCCTTTATCAACGTAGCATATTGTTTGCTTTTCATGTTTAAAAAAAAATTGTTTATTAATCTAGTTTACCAGGTCTTTTCATAAAAAAAAAATATTTAGGTCAGTTTATGGTTTTCTGTCCAAAATTTGGTCAGACAACAAAAAAATAAATAAAAATCTTTCAAACACCTATACAATGAAAAATAAAAGAAAAATCTTTTCAAATTGTACGTGAACAATAAAAAATTTTAACCTTTTTTAAATCGCATACAAAAATTAATAAAAATTTAAGTGCCATAATTTTTAATTTATATTAAACAAAGCTGTTGCGGCTGAACTATAGGTTTAGGGAACTTTTCAAATTTTATAAAAATTTTGTTTAACCTTTTAACTTGATTTTATTTAGTATTTTTAGATAAAGCTAATTACATTTTAAATAAATGCCATAAATAAACGATTTAATTAAATAGATTAGTGACTGAAATGTAGTAAATTTCATCTAAATCTAGTTCATCTAGTTTATACTAACTATCGGTTCACATATTTCATACTGAAAACAGTAAAACTCTAAGTCAATATATGTACTCAAAACCGAAATTTTAATAATGTCCCAAATGAAGTTCAATTACCACCTATGCTTATGTGCGTCTATAAATTTTTTGCCATTGTGGTAAAAGAATAAAAGTGGCCAAATTATATGATATGTGACTGCTATTTGCGTTTTTGGAATCAACCTCTTATAGTTAATATTTTAGATGTTTAATGAACTGGAACAAACGATTCTTCATATTTTTTTTACATTTGTACAATATTTCATTCGAAGCTATTCGTTCTTGTTTTTTGATTATTGTTTTTAATTACTCCCATATTACAAGTTTTATTACATATACGAGTATTCTCACTAATTCTGTTCATCGGCACTATCATAATAAAAAAAATCCTAAGTACAACATTTCGGTATTCATGTCGGAATGATTTTCATGTAAAGTGAAAACTTTAAGTCGTCTATCTATTTATCTATAAACACCAAGCTTTAGAATATTATAAAAGCAATCTGCAGTATATATGCAGTCACCTATTCCAACGACCCTTTTTTTTTGAACATCTATAAATTTTATACTCCCAATTAATTGAAATGTTGAAATTCTTAATTTTGATTAACATGTAATGTGAAGCTATTATGACAACACACATTTAAATATGTTTTGCGGAGTCTACTTGAAATTACGGGTAATAGCAAAGGCTTTTCATTTTTAAAATTCTAATTTGGTTGAATTGCTTTACAAACTCCAATTGATTTTCTTGAAACATGATTTTTTTAAAGTTCTACAATCTCTAGTATTTAAAAGGGAAAAAAAAGTTAAACTGAATTTTCGCGGTGCCTATGGGAGCGTAAAATTTTTCATAAAATTTTTCCACAAATCAAAGTTGAACACACATACATAGTACATGTATGTATGTATTTACTTTTTACCTGATTTATAGTACACACAAAAAGGACCTTGAAAGTTTATG